TCAAGAAAAACTCATTATGATACAATGAAATATAAAATCAGTCGGCATTAATAGAAAAATATTTCCTTGCAGTTAACACCCATTGGACTAAAATAAATACTGAAAATTTAAATTATCAAGAATAATTCAAACAATGTAATTTTCGATAGATTCGGTTGCAGTAACTTTATACTAATGATTTGTATAAGCTATGCATAAAATTGAGGGAATAAAAATAATTATTTTCAAGCTTTTATATTATAAAAGACACCTGACCGGACTGGTGCTCCGCATAGGTGGTTTTCCTGCTTAGAAATCCCAGGGAGGCTCAGACATTTACGAATATATACTGAGTAATGAAAATCCATCGGTTCTAAAACCTGCCTGAAAAAATATTTTGAAAGGGAAAGAAGACAGGAAAATTAAATTTTAGATTAATTCTTTTAAAGGCAATGTAGTTATTGCTTAGATTTCGTTGCAGTAGCCGAGAGGTAAAATCGCTGAATGCAGGTAATTCGGTCCGAATTCTACGAAGGCATCCCTCTTCTTAGACAGATAGTCCTCGTGTGCTTTAAGGTAATAAAAAAATAAAATCATGCTGTTGCATTACTTTTAGATGAATGACTTGTATTATAGTACTACTACTTTATAATACTACTCGTAGTCTACTACTTTAGAATATCTACTTCAGGGTAATTTTCGCTTAGTTTGTCTCGTAATCATTGTAACGACAGCTGCAGCAGATAATCTCAATAGTTATCCCCCCCACACACATGTCATTAAAACTTAGCACGTCTTCAGTAGGGACGGACATTTAAGAAAGGAAAATCCATCGGTTCGAAAGTGCGCTTCAGAAGTTTTGAATCTGAAACAAGGTAGAAAGCTTTCGGACTCCCTCCATTCTTTGATCAAAACTAAGATGCAGTGAAACAAACAAACCATCACTTGTTCCCAACGGCTATGGGGTTACGGCCAAAACAAATATCAAAGACAAGACGTTATATTTTATTTAACGTTATCATGAATTAAGTCTGGGTTACTATTAATACAGCAATTAACAGGTAATGCTTCATAACTGTTCTTCTGTTGTATTAATATGTCATGTTTCTGCGGCACATAATATTGGTGTGGTGTGGTGTATTTAATTATGGCAAAGCACACTAGGGCTATCTGCCTAAGAGGAGGGATGCCTTTCGTGGAGGACTTTCTAAGGGAAACTGGCTCGTATACACGTTACACATGGGGAAAACCACGAAAACACCCATGCAGCCAGCCCGTTCGCGGGATTCGAACCTCGGACCGAACTACCAGTGTTCAGCGACTTTACCGCTCGGCCGCTGGTGGGCGCACATAATATTGAAGCAAAGCTACTGTAAAAAGCCAGGAAAGAAATTATAGTAAATTTTATAGATAATAAATATTTTTCTTAAATGGCCAAAAAGGATGAAAGCAATAATAGTTTAATATAAAAATTATTGTAATAAGATTCTAATACCTAGTTTATTTATTTCTTTTTCGACTGCAGAAAATATGCCAGTCATCTTGCAAAATGCCAAGTATTTCGCGAGAATTTATCGCACACCGGTATCTTAACTAGTAAATGTTTAAGAGTTAAGATTTTTCTCTTTCAATTTATATTCGTCAGAAGCCATTCGTTTTTAATCTCTTTTATTTACTACGTGTAGAATAAAATAATATACATGATTATAGGTTTCGTATCAAGAGGCAATAAAAATCTCATTTTCCTCTAATTTGATGAGAAAAATAACGAGAAAATTACAAATGACGAGAAAAAGGATATCTTTTGATTCTGGTAAAATATGTCTACAGTTTTTTAAAAAAATAATGTAACTGTTAGTAATCTGTTTGTCTCATACTTGATACAGTAGCAAATATAATCATGGATTTTGAAATCACTGTCCAAACTTATTCAAAATTACATATATATATATATATATATATATATATATATAGGTGTGTGTGTGTGTGTGTATGCGTATATGAGCACCAAAAGTTTTTATAAAGAAAAATATAAAATCATTGCATTCTACTAAGCCTAAATTTGTAATTAATATTGTTTAAAAACGTTTTAAATATTTTATTTAAAAAAATTCACCATTAAGAATTTTCTACGAACCTTCGATAATAGTTTTTAAAATGCAAAAAACGTTTCCATTTTTAAAGCATATTAAATATTTGGAATTTTGTATTTTAATTTTAATGTTTTTGCTTTTCCCGTTTTTCTTTGTTCTAGTTATTCATTATAACTACAATTTTTTGAACATTTTAATTGCAGTTTTGTTATTAATTTTAATCTGGGTTTTATTTTGGAAGTGGTTTATTTATTTTACTCTTAGGAATAAATATTTGTCCTCTTCAGTTGGCATTTCAAAGTGTCAGTATGTTTTGAAAAAAGTATTTTTCTTTAAAATTCAAAATTCTTTGCCTTTGAGCATTAAACTCATGTTTTAGAGAGCCCACCAGCGGCCGAGCGGTAACGTCGCTGAATACTGGTAGTTCGGTCCGAGGTTCGAGTCCCGCGGACGGGCTGGCTGCATGGGTGTTTTCGTGGTTTTCCCCATGTGTAACGTGTATACGAACCAGTTTTCCTTAAAAAGTCCTCCACGAAGGCATCCCTCCCTTAAGGCAGATAGCCCTCGAGTGCTTTGCCGTAATCTAACAAACCAAACCAAACCACGTTTTAGAAGATGGCGTTCTCGACGAAGGTTTTTAGTTTCACCAAAGAGGCCGAACTGTGGCAGCCCTAGCCGTCTCTGATTCTAACTGCTATTTTCATTGTTTTCGAACTGACGTTTGAAAGGGGGTTCTCGAAAGGTTATGTATAAAAAAATTTTCGCTACATTGTAGATTACTTTCAATTTTTATGGAATATTATCACTTAGGATTGAGTTCTAAGTATAACTGTCATACCAAAAGACAAGGGTTTGAATCCCGAAAAAATCACGGATATTTGTAAATGTATAGTGCCTTTGCAGTATGGGCGCTTTCTAAATACTATATAGGCCTCTCGTGTGGTTTGATGGTAGGGGAAGAAGGGTTAGAGACCCTCGGATCAATGCCATAACATGATGTCTAAATATTTTCAATGTTATATTTGCTTTAAGATATATCTTAAGGATGCTGTAATAGCATTTCAATAAACCTTTAATATTTCCCAAACGGATAAAAGACGAAATATCATAATCTTAAAATAATTCACTTTTTTTTTTTCCTTTTCACTTCTTGTCTTATTTTTGAAGCAAACGAAAGCGCGAAGCAAGTTAAGGATTTCCAAATGCAATGCTTATAATATGTTTAGATTGAAGTGAAAACTGGATTAGATTAAGAGAACACTTAAATGAAAACATTTACTAGAGTCCTTAAGCTTAAATATTTTTCTTTACTTTTAAATCTTTCTACTTTTATAGATAAAATAAACAAGTTTTTAAAAGTACAAAAAGTATTACTTAACATTTCAACCTATAATATCCTACGGATGTTTATAAAGTTCGCTTAGAATAAAATTCTATCATCATTTATTATGATTCCGTCTACAGCATTACATTGGTTTGGGTTATTTGATTATGGCAAAGCACGTGAGAGATACCTGCTGAAGAGTGTTGCTTCCGTTGACCACATTTTAAGAGAAATTAGCTGGTATCGACGCTACACAAGAGGAAAACCACGAAAACGTCCATGCAGCCAGCCCGTTCATCCGAAATTGAAACCAGGTCGAACTACCAGTGTTCAGCGACTTTACCGCTTGGTCGTTGGTAAGCCGAAGTTACATTTCGGTAAACCTTTCTTCCTTCCTAATGGGATTTAGACTAGTTAACAGTTATTGAAAACATTTTAAAAGTATTAACTGTTAATTTATATATTATATATAAGTACAGATAGAAATAATCCATTATTTAGCTAAGTATGGATGCTTTTATGGTAGGGATGCAAATATGGATATATTTATGAGATTTTTAGAAAACTTCTCTTATGACATACCCGTTTACTAAATTTATGATTAATAACATGTTTGAAATTTTGGCCGCAAACTGGACATATTTTATACATAGCCTTAAATAATTTAGAAATTTTATATATAGCTATTATTTATAACTAGCATTTTATACCTAGAAATTGATGTTAGCATATTTATATAAATAGAGGGTGTTTATAAATAAATTGTGCGATTTTAAAAATTAATAATAAATTGATGTATTATTTTATTTGGGCAAAACTTTCAGCATAAGCAGCAGACACTGTCCAAGTTTTTGATGCATTAATCACAGTCTTTCAAGATGTACACCCATGGTCACACGACACACATCTACACGGTAATCAAATTCTTCCCATACTCTGTCTAATATGTCCGCCGTGACGATCTGCAGTGCATGTTTTATCCAACCACAATCAAGGGTCATGAGCATTGGGAGTACATAAACTCGGTTTTTATCAAACCCTCAAAGAAAGAAATTGCATGATGTTAAATCCGGCGAACGGGTTGGCCAGGAAAGAAAGTTGTTGTCTCTTGCTGCAGTACGTCCAAACCACGTTGATGAAGAACACGATTAAGAAACTCTCATATATTCCTACGAAAATGGGGCGGAGCACTATCCATTTGCAAAATGTCATCATCATAATTAGTGTTCAACTAGGGTAACAACCAGGTTCACAACTGGAGTCTGGAAACGAGTCACCCATCACAATTTATTGTTGGAATAAAAATCGGTCGTGCTGTTTCTCACGGGACACCGCACAGAAAACATGCACGAAACTCACGCTGCATTGAAACCACAGATCTGGACACCTCAAAACACTGAAAGCTTTTTCCATTTGCGGCGCCATCTTGGAAACTAACGCAAGCAAACAATAGGTAACATATGAGAAACTTGCATAGTTGACAATGCTTACGGTGTAGGTTTTGCACGTGTAAGGTAATACATCTGTTGCAAACTCAGCCGATAGGGGGCGATAGTGAGCCTTGAATTTAAAACTGATTTGTTTACTTTTATCTTTAGAAAGTAGTTGAATGTAGCTAAATGTGTAAGATGTGTCTTGTCAAGTGAATTTTCCGTCGTTATAATGTGTCAATAAAGGATTAAAAGCTAAGTAAATTTCAATTACTCTTCTTTAGAAGCTGAGAAGGTCAAGAACCAGGTAAGATCTATTATTTTTATCAATTTTGTTTTAACATCAATTTATAATTCATTTTTAAAACCGCACCATTCATCTATAAACACCCTGTATTATAGACCTAGAAATTTATAATAGCATATTTATTATTTATTTAGCATATTTACCTCTTACTACATATTTACTCATTTATTCATCAAAGTAATCATTCTCTCGTAATTTTACTACATCGATGTTACTATCACAAGCAAAGATTGGAAGGTTATATTGCCATCCAAATTTTGTTCTTTTGATATAATTTCAGTTTCAGTTTAAAAGATTTTAACACTGAATCATTTAAGTTCAGCTACATGAAATGGAAACCATATTTCCATTCAATCAATGGTTAATTACCCGAACTTATTAAGCAACTATGTCTTGCCTTTCAATCAAATGTTTACTTTGTCATGATTACTACCCTGCATTATACCAAATTTGCCCTATGTTTAAATATCCGACAGCAATTAATTCAAATGCTTTAATGTAGTTCATGAGAGCTATTATTCTGAATGGGCTTATTTAACGTCTGATAGAGAATGAAGTGAAATGTTATGACTGTTGACTGTTGACTCGCTTAAATGCACCTGAATATAATTGAAGATTTAGTGCCATATATATATATGTTTGTGACTGCTAATGCTTCATCAAACTATACTTTTAACTTTCAGACAAGGCGTTTTCGTTTGTCTTACCTTACAGGTTAGGGGCCAGCCAATTGCTGAAAAGCGAAAATCGTAGGAATGCCATATAAACTCTTGGCATCAAAAGCATTTTTCGCCAAGTTATATTGAAAGTTTTTGGACCATAATGTTGCGCTGCCGTATAAATTTATAATTCATATGACTTTAAACGCATTGCCATTGCACCATGTATAAAATCTTTAGCTTCTAATTTAGCTATCTCTTTCACCTGTTCAGTGCAGAACATAAGCAAGTATTTGAGTGCTGTCGTTCTACACGACATAAATCTTTACTTTTAATATAATCTTTCAAAGTATAACTGTATTTTTAGCCCAGAAGAGTTATTAGTCTCAAAACGGGATTTTGCGTTGAATCACTATAAAAGTCTGAGTCATTTTTAAATTGTTGACACCAAATATTATTGCCCTGTATTATATTTAAAAAAATCTAAATAATGAATAATTTCCATAAATGTACGCATGTTTTTGGCATTGCACAAAAAAAACTTCACCTGGAGCCATCAAAGTTTGAATAACGTAATCTTCCACTCGAGTGTGGATATCTGGAAGCTAGAATTTTGAATTTGTTTTATTGTGTATTTCATAGTTTGCAAAACTTTAAAGAATTTTTGATTAACAAACTCAATGATTTCAAAGCGAGCAATGGCAACACTGTACGAAAAAAAAAATTATCTCCAGCGCGCGAGACTGCCTATCGGAAATTTTAAAGATAAGCTGCTTTTAAATAGTTTAGCCCAGAGGAACATTACTCCAAATGCTCTCGAAATGTGTATGTGAATGTAAATGAAAAATTTCCTCTTTGGGTGTAATATAAAATCTGAAAGCTTTCAGACCTTTTTTACGATGTAGTTTAATTAATTCTTATTATTTTTAAGAGATATTCTTATTAGCATTAGTATTAAAAACTGTCAATTTACAAGCAATAAATGTGACTCTTAATAATTTTAATCTTTCTTTTAAATGTTTAATAATGCACTTAATTGACATCATCTAGTTTTTAACAATAGATCTAATTGGATAAGCATACAATTTTTAGTATGTTTAATTGACAGATATAGTGTTTATAGAAGCACATCCGGCAAACAGTCGAAAGGCGCTGATTTCGAATCCCGGCGAAAGTATAGTTACTTTTCTTACATTTCTTGTTCCAAAAAAAATCTATTTGGATGTACACTAGTGCCTGACTAAAATGTGGTGGACATAACATTCGTAACCTCCTGAATTAGCGACCTTTTAGTGTAGAAGAATATAAGAAAATTTTTTCCTTCCTTAACGCGGGCGCCAACAGTGGACGAGTGCTTAGGACCACTCAATACTGTGAGTTCGATATCAGGGAAAAGCGCTGGCTGCATGTTTTGTTTTCGTAGTTTTTTCCATGGGAAACGTGAATGCGAACAGTTTCCCTTTAAAAATCCTCTGTAAAGGCATTTCTTCCGTTAGGTATATCATGTTCTTGTATTTTGCCCTATTATATTTAGATATATATATATAAATTTCTATATTGCGGGCCTTCGTGGTGTAATTGGAAACACGTTCCGCTAGCTATCAGAAGGCCCGAATTTCGAAAACAAAAAATGTCTACCTCAATTTACAGTGGCGTCTGAATAAAATGTGGCGGACAAAATTTCATCATCCCCACCTGGATATGGATATTGGTTGTCTTTCCTCCCCAATTGATTTTTAAGTGAATAAGAATATAGGGAATTTTCTCCTTCCTTGCTGAGGCGATATCATCTGTGATAAACTTACGACTCATTTTATGAAATATTGTTTAATAAAATAATATAACATGAAACGCAAAACTTACATCTTATATATATATATATATATAAAAGGAAAAGTCTGTCTGTTGGTGCCTTTTGTTCGTGCTGCGCGTAAGCTAGTCGACCTAGCGCTACGAAATTCGGCACATAAATACATCTAGACAAAAGCCAGTGCACCTCGAAGTGATGTTTTTCAAAATTCGAATGATTTTTTTAAATTTTTTTATTTTACGTTTTTTGATGAAATTGCATCAAATCGATAATTCTCTCTCATTAAATCAACACTGTTGCCACTCGGAAAAATGAGCGTAATAAATGCTGTGCAGTTTTCAGATTTAATGTTTCTCTTGGATACTGGACGTTTGTCGAGAGAAGGCAAACGGGAAGTTGGTTAATTTATTTATTAGGATAATTGATATTTGTATTAAGGGATATTGCTTATTTCATTCATTTTTAGGCATTTTTACGGTACATTTAAAAGCCAGAAGAATGCTGGCCGCATAGCGGCTAGTATTAAAATAAAAGATTTTAAAATGTATTTAGTGGTGGTAGTTTCGCACAATATTCTTAACAGAATAAATCTTAGCAGCAAACAATTTCAAGATAACAATAAGATTAAATTTGTGTTAGAATCCATTGAAGGAAATTAAACAATTTTATTAAAATACTCTGATGATATTATATAGAATTCTAATCACATCAATACTCTGAAAATTACCAAAACAAACTTAGTGAAAATGTAGATGGGGATTTTGAATTTAAATCTGTAGCTAAAATCCGACCAAGCAAAAGACATGCCATTTCAGCAAGAACATTTAGATGAACCACTGCAAAAGTCTGAAGAGAAATTTAGAATTATGTAGTTTATACTACCTTAATGCTTGTGAAACTTGCAGTATCATGAAGGAATTGTCGGAAATGAGTGAAATGTATTCCACATATTACTGATAGTGGCACAAATAAATGACCAAATTTACAAGACCAAAAAACAAAACGAACATTGGAAATCAATACTTTGTGTGTCTGTCACGTTATGCGATGAGAGCCTGTACTCGTCGTGGCATTAAATTGTACAGACAGGTTCTGAATGCAGTCCTGGGAATGGCATTCTATATGACTTCGACCTGATGCAAAAGTTCAACCTTAGTGTGCGCCCCACCAGTTGTGGAAGCGATTCCCCGACCTATGTTCCATAGATGATATATCAGGGAAATAAGCAGGCCATGAAAGAAGCGAAACCTGTTGCGCCCTAAGAAGGCTTCTGCAGTCTAAAAAATTATGTGCATGGATATTGTTCTGCTGAGATACAGAGCCCGGAATGCGTCAAAGAATGGAGAAGACCTCTGACTACACAACTTCCTTTATGAGGCGATCACTGTTGAGTTGCCCGGAATCTGCACTAGATGGGATCTACAAGTATATCCAATAGCTCCCCACACACAATGATGCAAAGCGTTTGTGCGCGTCTAAGTACTAAAAATTACCTGTATGTTTGTCCCACAAATGTCATCACGTACTTTACAAATGGCCCATGCTATGTGGAGGAATCGTCCAAGTTTATTCAAGCATTTTGCATTAAATGATAAATATAAGAGTTTCTCAAACTAACTCTTAAATATGTAATATTTTAAAAGACCTGGCATTGATGGTCGATATCCTACAGGAATTATCATATCTGATATTTTGTTACCTTTATTTTTTATAATTAAAAAATTTTTTTCCTTGTTCATGCATAATTACATTTGCATTTTCTCTTTCTCGGAAAAAAAAAACCCTCAAACATTTCTTTAAAATTTGGTTGTTTGCTTCTGTTCATGCGATGCGTGCGTTGTTATACAACAATTTCAAATTAACTAGAAGTGGACTGTACTAAATATTTTATTCGACAACTTTAATCAAATGCGTGTCATCTTTCAAGGGATGACTTACTACTAACAACAACAGCAATAAAAAAAAACTGAGTAAGCGTTTACAGGGTTGCTGTAATGAACATCTGCGTCATGCAAGGCGCCAAGAAGAGAAAAAATGACGTAATCTTACAGTTAAATAGTCTTAATGACTTAACATACCCCCCGGCATTGAAGGGTTACTTCAATAGTTTCGTGCGATAATACTCATAATAACCTACAAAATTGTACAATTACTACCTTATACAATAATGCAATACGAATAATATCTCTTAATTCAATATAATAATATTCAATTTTCAATAAAAATTTTATACACAATACAATGTACAATACAAGTTTTATAATAATAAGCTAACACTTAACTAACTTAGGAAGCTTCTTCTTGGGGTTAAAATTTGCAATTTTTGTAATTCCACGCTTAATGATGCCCTTGCTGTCTGTATTTCTACTACTCTAACCTTACCGTCAACTCCAGGAAAAATTCTTGTAATGCCCCCTAACACCCATCTACAACAGGAAGCTCATCCTCCTTAACTAGTACTAGCATACCTATTTTAATATTCGTTTGTTCTACCTTCCATTTTGAACGCTGTTGTAGTGTGTTTAAATAGT